ACTAATAGAGAAAGGCTGAATAGTGCAAACATTACCCATCAGCCAGCCTCAACTATGCCATTTCCGGGAGAGGAAAAGAAATCCAAAAGGCAGACCTAAATCTCTCTCTCTCTCCCCTGCAAAGCCATGGGGAGCATCAATAAACCCAGCAAGCTCCTTCTCTTAGGCCTATTCATCTTCCATTAAAGGCCCATTTTACCAAACTGATGGGCGGAAACAGTACTGGCTACCGTTTGGGCCCAAATAATGAGCTGATGTTTGAAGGAGGGAGAGCAGACACACAGGATGTCTGGAGACGGAGCAGGTGGTGGGAGGAGGTGGTGGGTATTCCCTGCGGTGGGAAACCCTTCCCCGAGCTCAGGGAACTTACTGTACTTTCCTATGTGGCCGCCAATGTAATCCTCTATCAAAACTTCTTAAGACCAGCCTAGAGAGGATTGCAAAGGACTTGTGAGGGCAGCATGAAAGTTCTACACCGCGATGGTTGTGGTTGTTGGTTACGTAGTATAATTTGTCAAAACCCGTTGAGTGGTACACTTAGAACTGGTGAAGTTGGTCATATGTAAATTATACCTCAATAAAGCTGCTTCCAGTGAAAAAAGTCAGTACATAAAGAACATTCTGATTGAATGTGCTTGGTTTGGGTCAGGGAGGAAGAAAAAAACACTTGTGGGATTTTTTGTTTGTTTGGTTGGTTGGTTTTTAACAAAAAAACGGGACAAAAATAGACCATTTGATTTGAAATAAGTATGGGAAAGAAAAAAATAAAAGAAAGATCATTCTATGGTACTTTGTCAGAAAATGGGAAGAAAACTTAAATATCTTAGTATCCTCAGTCAGATAGCTAATTTGATACGTAATTCTTGATAAAAAGAAAAGAGGAACAAGAAAAATCCTTTTTTCTGAAGACAGAACAAAAATGAAAGGGACTAATGAATACTCCCTGAGTATAAATGCTGTTAAATGTGGCAATAAGCAGAGAAGTGTCCCCATTAGAACTAATAAGAGATTTGCTGGAAACTTTCAAGTTAAAAAATAAAGGCAGAGAATTAATATGTCACTGAGCTAAGCCACAAATCCACAACTCTGACCTTGACTTAATACTGTCTCCCTGGAGTATTTGCAGCATATTCCTGTCGGGCAGGCCAAAGCCGGTATGTTTTGGGAATGAATTCAAACCTTTGCATTTAGGATGGGAGACCGGGCAGGCGGTGATCTCTTCCCCAGAGCTTCTGATTAGCTGACAGAAGTGCCCTGGGAATGGTCGCTCTCGTGAGCACTTCCTCACTCACATCTCCAGACTCGCTTAGCATCAGAGTGCAAGAGAGCACTGTGGTTTGCAGCTATCCCGCACTGAAGGGGGGTGAGGAGGGCCAAGGGAAGTGACGTAAGGCACCTAGAACAGGGCTTGGCTCAAAAGGGCATTACTTCCTTTAGGTTCTCTTACACTAAGCAACTTGCTGCCTCTTGAAGTTGCACCTCTGTCTTAGACGTTGTATCCTGGATTTTTTTTTTCTCCCTGATACACATTCCAGATGACAAGCAGAGGTGTCTAGCTTAGTAGTTTGATTTTAGAGAAAAACCCCAACATTGAGACATTGGGAGCTTTGTTCCCAGTTTTGAGAACTGGGGCAAAACATGTAAGCCATCTAGACCTTTGTTTCTTCATTACAAAATGGAATAATATTTACTGCTTGAGTTTGTTGTTAAAATTAGGGGTTAGTCCTAGCTGGTGTGGCTCAGTGGACTGAACGCCAGCCTTTGACCTGAAAGGTCACCGATCTGAGTCCCGGTCAAGGCATGTGCCTGGGTTGTGGGCCAGGTCCCCAGCTGGGTGTGTGCGAGAGGCAACCACACATTGGTGTTTCTCTCCCTCTCTTTCTCCCTTTCTTCCCCTCTAAAAAAAAATTAACAAAATCTTTTTTTAAATTAGGGTTTATAATACATGTAAAGTGCTTAGCTCTCTTCCTAGTGTTGATTACAGACTCAATAAATTATACTGGTATTAGATAATACTTTTAAAGGGTCTTATTGCAGCCTTTCTACAATTACGTGGTGATATATAAAAGGTCATCTTTTAAATTTTGCATAAATCAAGAAGTTTAAAGTTAAGTTCATTACATTAAATTCGTATTAAGTAGAGAGCTGCGGAATTCTATGTCATTCATTCCCTCCCTCAAACAACTACTGAATTGTGGAGGGTTTACTACATGCCGAATGCTATTTTAGGAATGAGGGCAGAGCAGAGAATATGGCAGATGCAGCCCCTTCCCTTACGGAGGCTATGGTCTAGAAAGGGGGCAGACAACATGAAAACAATCAATATATTAGTGAGGTGGCATTCAGTGCCCTGGGATCGCGGGGTCCGAAGCAGTGGTTGTGCGGAGTGCTGGGTGGAGAGATTGCTGCGGATTTCTCAAGGGAAAGGCCTCCCTGATGAGGTGCCATAGAAGCAGACAACGCAGAGGCTGTGAGGGCACTGCGTGCAGATATCTGGGGCAAGGCCAGTGTAAGCAGATGAAAAGAGCATGTGCAAAGGCCCTGAGGCCTAAATCTGCTCAACGTGTTTAAGACAGAAGAAGGCCTGTATGACTAGAGCCGAGAGAGTAAGGGGGCGGAGGGAAGGAGAGGGGTCAGAGGGAGGCAGACCATGGTGGATCTTACAGGCCATAGTAACTGAGATGAGGCCTTTTGAGCAGAAAGTAGCAGGGTGGGACTTATATTCCACTCCCCCCACCTCCAACACTGGCTGCTTTCCAAGAGACATATTCCTTTTGTTATTGCATGTTTACATTTTAATAGGATCACTCTAGCAGCTGTGTTGAGAATACACTGCAGAAGACAAAGATAGAAGCAGGAAGACCAGTTTCGGGGGCGTGTTACAGAAGGAGGAGGGCAGGCTTGGACCAAGGGGGTAAAAGGGATTAGATTCTGGATGTGTTGAAAGTAGAGTCAACAGGGAGTGCTGAGGGATCAAATGCAGGCATGAGTGACAGAGGGCCCCCAATGTTTTATTCTGAGTGAACTGCCATCTCCCGAGATAGGAAAGATCGCAGAAGGCACAGATTTCATTGAGAAATTTGGATGCTTGGTTTTCATTTTATTAGTATTAAGAAGCCTAGCACGGCCCTGGCTGGTGTAGCTCAGTGGATTGAGCATGGGCCTGGGAACCAAACAACTGGGGTTCCATCCCCAGTCAGTGCACATGCCTGGGTTGCAGGCCAGTTCCCAGCAGGGGACGCATGAGAGGCAACCATACATTGATGTTTCTCTCCCTCTCTCCTTCCCTTCCCCTCTAAGGATAAATAAACTTTTTTTAAAAAAGCAGCCTAGCAGGAATTCAAGTGGAGATATCAAATAAGTAACCATATACAGAAGTCTAGGCAAGAGAGAAATGTTGACTGCATCAGCTTTAGATGGTATTTAAAGAGATCCACAGGCTGAGCTCTGGGGCCAGAGACGGGAGTGGGAATCAGAGCAGTAGGTAGCTCCAGACCTCAGGGCCCAGGAAGAGGGCAGAGCTGCACAGTGAGAGCGTCAGTATTTCCTTTCTGGTGGAGATATTTGGCTTTTATATTTGCAAACTAAATAACTGCTTTGGGTGGCTTTTCCAAAACAAATCATCCTTCCCAAAGGCCTGAGTCTTTGTTCTCCACAGAATCTAAAGCAGTTCTCAGCTTTGAAATAGCACCTGGATTATATTCCCATCGCCCTGTCCAGGTTTCAGCAATCTCGAGGTCCAGCCTCTGCCACTAACCCAAGCGATTGCTGTGTTCCTTTCTTATCCACAGACGCTTCTGGTAGAAAGAAAACTTAGATCTAAAGAATGGGATCACTCTCTTTCTTTTGAAATAGTTTGAGTTTGAATGAGTCTGCTATACTCAGGAATGTGTCAGACTCAAGGTGCAAAAAGCCACATAAGAAAGCAATAAAGTATCAAGTATCTGAGCCACTGAACAAAAAATATGTGTATATTGAGAAAAAATAAATCCAGCCAATTATAACTCTCACCATATGTCATCATAAGGCCTTCTCTGTGATTTAGAAGCAAGGATATGTATTTGCTACTAGGGTCATAAATAAAAATAAAATGTAGAGGCAAATAGCCATTGGGGAAGAGGAGAGACGGCTTTGGGGAAGGTCTGGTGACAGTTTATGTGCAAGATGGAACCAAATAGACTTGGGGGGGAAATGTACTTACTGGGATTTGCCCCAGGGTCCACATCACTTGAGAGCTTAGCCAAAGCATATTTTTGGTAGTCTGCCGTGTCTTTTGAACAAGGTTGGTTCTTATGATATGACAGGACCTAATCATGTTCCGATGAAACCAACTCCCTCCCAAATTGTCTTCCCAGTAAATATTTATCCCTACATTTCTAACACAGGAGGATTCTGAATTCAATGCGGGACTCCTAATCTTGGAAGTGCATCCGCAGCTGAACGCCAGGGATGCCTCCTGCCCTTAAGCTACGTTCCCCGAAAGTGGGATGCAGAGAGGCACGTATCTGTGGGGGGCTCTTCTGCACGGGGACCCCTTCAGCGTCTGTCGGTTTTCCCCAGACTCCAGCACGGCCCGACCGGAGAGGCCCAGGAAGGTGCAGAGCGCAAGGTAAGGCTGCCCGCGGCCCACGCACGGGCTGGCCTCCAGCTGGACACCTGTTACTGCCTCCGAGTTACCGGTTAACCACGATCGCGGGCAGATCTTAGTAGCTGAAGGAACGCCTTCTCCCGGCCGACAGCCGCACAGGATAACGATGGCCTCTTTACCGAGGCGGGTCAATTTGGCAAAAAGAAGGCAATCGGTCTTTCTCGCCAGGGCAGGTGCTTGGCCTCCTCGGTCCTAAAGCCAGACCCGCGAGCCCCGAGGCCTCCCGCTGTGCAGCTGGGCCCCACCCTGAGCGCCGGCGTGCCGCCGACTGCGTGCGCATGCGCAACTGCGGGCGGGGCGGGGCCTCGCACGTGTCTAGTCCCTTCCCCTCCGGCTCCACCCCGGCTCATCCCGGCGGTGCGGGGCGGAGTGCGCCTGCGCGGAGCCGGCCGTCCGGCGGGGCTGCAGCCGCACAGTGGCTGGCGGTTGCTGTGGGGACCGCGGTCCCCTCCCTCCTCCGTTCCTGCCCTACGCCGTTCCCCACCGAGAAGCGGCGGACCACCCCGGCCCTCCCCTCCCGCCGCCCCGCCTGGAGGTGCAGCTGTGACCCGCGAGAGGCGGTGCCGCTCCCAAGATGTCGCAGACGGCCATGTCCGAGACCTACGGTACGCGGCCCGGCGGGCGGGGAGGCGGGGGCCGGGGGCGCGGAGCCGGGCGGCCGGGCCGGGGTGCGGGGCGCCATCCTTTTGTCGAGTTCCCTCCGGCTGCTCCTCCGCGCGCACGCGGGCGGGGGTTTCCTCCGAGAGTCTGATCGCAGCCGCTCAGGGCTGGGGCAGGAGTCGGAGCCCCAGTTTCCTCCGCGGTGTTGTCCCCAGCGAGGGGTGTGCAGGACTTCGGGCGACGCCTGCGTTTCAGCGTGAGCCTGGGACGTTCGCGGTTGACCTTCCTGGTTTGGGATGCCTTTCTTTGCACCCGGTTGCGGGAGGAGTAGTCGGTAGACTTCCAGTTCCTTCTCCGGAGACCGCTGGCTTCGTCCCTCTGTCTCGCTCGAGGTTTTTAGCCCTTTCTAGTTGCATTATGACTATATATAAATGACTTTTTTTTTCCACCATAAACGCCTTGGAGGCAGTCCTGTGTTTAACCTTTGCTTCCCCTCTGAGTACCCACACCTGGAGTTGCCCACAAATATTTTTTGAATAAACAAAAGCCTTCCCAATACATATGCTGTGTTTTTTAGGAGTCGTTGCTGTTTTAGTCCTGCATGGTGAAAAAAATGAACCACACAGCATACCACTGCGTCCCGTCAGGGCTGAGGAGGTGTTACCAGTCTGTAATCACTTTCAGATGTGTGCATGCAGATTGAGACTTTGATTTGGAGTTTTACAGTCCCTGGCATAGGCTCAGATTCAAGTGCAGGCTCCTCAAGCCCACCCAGCCTTGTCTCCATTTGCGCTGGCGCGCCGCTCTTTCCCTTGGAGGAGGTGTGCGCGGGCATGTGGAGTTTGCGTGCTGGGAAGGCGCGAGCTGCAGGCTCGGCCCTGGTCTCAGAGAGCTTACTGTAGGGGGGGAGGGGGGGCGGGTGCACTATTAATCCAACTATGACACTAATGAATGGTTAAAAACGCTGCAGGAGTTCTGAAGGAATGTGGTCCTTTACAGTATGTTACAAAGAAACCTAACCCAGACTGGGACCGGGAAGGCATTAACCAGGCAGCACTGCAGAACAGCACATGCCCATGCCCTGAGGGAGATGGGGTTCCAATAAGGAGAATGTGGTTTAAGCTCCTCACCAGCCCGCAGGAGGGGGTGAGGGTGAGGCAGGGGGGACCTGGAGGTCCGGAGAGGGGTGGGGCACCATGCATTCACTCCTTGTTGAGCCATTCTGAGATGGGTGCGTGCTTGAGGACAGGAGGGTGGTGGGGGCAGGAGGTCTGTTTCCTAGAAGGCTTTGGAGATCTTCCACAAAGTTGCTGGCTTCATAAGGACCAGTGTTGTCAAAGATGCAAATGCATCCCCGTGGTGTGCTTCTCTGCATAGAGAATCACTGTCAGATTCCATAAATATGTTCTCTGGCAGTTTTTGGTTACCCTTTTGCTTTACTTTTGCTCTTTATCCCACCCTTTTTTTCTTTCTTCGACCTGGATAAAGTTGACGGGGAGGGGTGGAAAGTCGGAGTAAGCATACCCAGGAGGAGGCAGGTATGAATTAGTAAGAAACGACTGGAAGAGTTCAGGGCATAGAGCTTTTATGTTCCATTCTGTTACATAAAATGGTAACCATGATAAAATGTAGGATACTTCTGGCATCTCTACTTCTTTCAAACAGAGTTCATTGACCTTTTGAACATCACAGTTACTGATTCAATGCTGATCATAAGGCTTTGATCATTAGGATTGTTACTTCATAGCAGCTTCGAAATATGTTTTTATTTTTATTTTTTACCAATTCAATTTAACCTTTTCCTCTAGTGCAGGAATTCGAGGAAACTACTAGAAATCAGTTTTAGAAAGAGCAAATGTGGCAGTTCAGAGCGTCAACCTAAAATTAAAAATCATCCCGGACCAAGCCCTAACACTGTCATGTTCTTCCCTTATCATCGACCATATTTGCACAGCATTGTTGCCCAGAAGCAAAATGGTCAGGGGCCCTCCTTCCGGACGTTTGCCTTTCGATAGCTGGTTTAAAAAAAAAAAAATGTTTGCCTAACCTTTAAACTCCTTTCTACCGTAGGCTCATTTTTTTTTCTCTTCTGAAAAAGAATGTTCTGTGTAACTAGTGACAATAAAGAGCCAGGGCTTACAATGTCCTGTTAATTAAAGCAGTATTTCACCTTTGGTAGACTGAGCAGTGTTCAGCATGTTGCTGCATTGAAACCACAAACCACATGAAAACTATATACTTTATATAATATTGTAATACAATATTGCAGTGTTAAATACCTAGGTGTCAGACTGATACCCTCATTCTGAATAGCCCTAAACTGAAATAGTGTTTCCTAAATATTGTTACATTCACAGTATTCTTAAAGCCCTGGCCAGTCAGTGTGGCTTGGGACTCCCAGAGGAACTTCCGCCATCTGAGACTTGGGAGATCACAAATTGACCCTAAAGTCATTTCTGATACCAAAATTTGTGAGACAGACTAACAAATGAGATAGGTAGTAACAAGCAGTGATGTTTAGTAAGGAGCTAAAAAGTTTAAGCAGTACAGAATATGCTATGAAATTTTAAGGGCTGAGGCAGTTTGAGGGAGAGGAAAATCTAAGCCAAATTCTATATACAGGGTCTGGGAGAAGTAACGCCATTGAGCATGGTTGCTAGGATACGTGCTTATCTCACACAGGGTGGGTAGCAATTTGAACGTTTCACCAAAAATGTCATAAATAATATCATACGTGTTTTTTAAATTAAATAATTATTAAATGTTATACACATTTATTAGGGGCATTATTTGTGACAGACCCTGTATATTGGAGTTTATGACTCCTACAGTGAAAATGATTTATGAAACAAGAACACAAATTATTGGTCCTATTCTAATTAATACTACAATATACTCAATATTTTTTTACTTTATGCTTTATTTTTTAAATATAGTGTTTACCACATAATTTTGAGAATTATCAAGATTTGTAAACATACTTTATATGTATATTATATAAGGATATTATATATAATATTTATATATATATATAAATAATAGGCTGTTGTGGGTTGAATTCTACCTCCCAAAGATATGTCCAGACCCTAACCCAGGTACCTGGGACTGTGGCCTTTCTCGGGAACAGCGTCTTTGCGGATGTAATGAGGTTACGATGAGCTTGTATTGGATGAAGGTGGACCCTGATCCAGTGAATGACATTCCTACAAAATGAGCAGAATTTGGTCACAGACACACACACACAGAGAACATGATGTGAAGACAGAGCCTGAGATTGGAGTGATTTATCTACAAGCCAGGGATCACCAGAGGATGGCTGGCCACCCCTAGAAGCTAATGAGAGGCCAGGAAGGACCCTTCCCTAGAGTCCTCAGTGAGAACATGGCCTTGCCAATACCTTGACTTTGGACTTCTAGCTTCTAGATCTGTAAGACAATAAATTCCTCTTTTAAGCCATCTTCTGTTTTTCCCATGTACTCATTCACTGAAGAGAGGAAATTAAAGCCCTTTGCTTTTCTCTCTCTTTCTCTCCTGGGGGAAGGTCCTGTCGCCCGCCGCAACATCCACCAGGCCTGTGAGCATCAGGCACACGCCCCCTCCCTTCACGGCCACATCCAGAGGTGGCTGGGTCCCGTGGGTTCTTCTTTCTAAGCAGCTGCCACACCTGCTGATCCTCTCCTGCCCGCTGCCCCTGCCTTGTTGCCCCTCCCTGCCTGACTCCAACCCCAGGTTTTCCCATCCACCTCCCATGTTGCCCCCAAAGCTGGAATCCATTTTTTTATCTGTCATTGTCCTTGGTCCGCTTGGTTTCTGAGTCTTTTGAACTGAACTTTTCAGAGAGTTTAAGTTACCATTTACCCCCAAAAAGTCAAGGGAAGGTTAAGTTGAGGCCAGGTTAGTGGATTATAAAGCGAGAAACCCAGCCTCCCTAAGTTCACTGCAGCAGCTGGGGCTCATGGCACAGCACCTGCACGGCGGCTGCCGAGAGGTCTCCGCAGCTCCTGCCTGCAAGGTGCAAGGAGATGAGAGAGAGATGCTCCCTGGGCGGGGGCAAGCTGGAAGGGGGCCTGTAACGTGTATTTTAGGGCCCAGGCTACTGGTAACTTATGCCACAGCCTCGTGGAGAAATCATGGTAAGTTAGCGATCTTTCCAACACCTTTTGAGGTCCCTGAACAGCAATTTCATGTGTGTATCAATGTGAACTTTTAACTATGAAAATGGTAGTATCTCTTCTGTTACTGCTCATAGCGCCAACCATCTTTGAGAACCACCTCGCCTTTCTGGCCCTTTCTGCAGAGTTGGCCATAACAGAATTCTTTCGGAAGGCTCGGCATGCCAGAAACCCCTCTGACCGCGTGTTACCAAGCAAGCGTGTTACTGATCTCTGCCTTGGATAGTTCTGTGAAATGCAAAGAACGCTGATGATGTTTCTTGAATTTCTTCTCTCAAAACATCATGGAGAGTGAGCCAACGGATGTTACAGATTTATTCCCCCAGCCCCAATAACTCCGTCAGGATGCTCACAGTGGAAATCGTTTGAAGGAAAAGCCTCAGAACCCTCTGCATCTGAATGTCCCCGCTCTCCCTGTCGGGCTGCTCTTGGTAATGGACTGGGCTCCTTTGTTTGAGGAATACTTGATTTGTGCTCCTCCGTAGCCATGACTGTGGGTTAAAGCTAACGTGATGTGCAGGGTATTGTTACTGAAGGGGTGGATGAAGTCACGCGAGAGGAAGGAATAGGGCTCTAACTTCCTCTCTTCGGTGAATGAGTACATGGGAAAACAGAAGATGGCTTAAAAGAGGAATTTACTGTCTTACAGTTCTGGAGGCTAGAAGTCCCAAGTCAGGGTGTTGGCGGGGCCATGTTCTCGCTGAAGGCTCTAAGCAAGGGTCCTTCCTGGCCTCTTACTAGCTTCCAGGGGTGGCCAGCCGTCCTTTGGCGATTCCTGGCTTGTAGACAGCAGACTGCAGGACAGCACACAAGTCAGATTAACACTGCACATT